ATATTTATTTAATTTTAAATAATTAATTAAATATTTATTTCTAATACTTCCAAAAAAGATAAAAAATTATACGCTACAAAATACAATTACAAACATTAGCGCTAATTATAAAGTATCAATACGCGTATCAATTCAAAAAAGTTTGGAAAAGAGAAAAGTTTTTTTTTATTATTATGATATGTAACAACGTACTTTATTATTTCGGGATACTAGTGTATCTGTAATGATCTACATAATATTCTACATTTGTCTATATAAAATGGTATATTAGCATATATAAATGATGTGATTGTTGCATTATTTATATGAAGTTTGTTAAGTTTTTAAATGGAATTACTAATATTATTTACGACAATGATAATTATGATTCAGATTTATTTTAAATAAAGCAGAATATATATAAAAATATATATAAAAATATAAATGCAAAATTTTACAAGTAGGATTAAAAAAAATTCCAAGCATTGATATATAATTCAGATTCGATATCGAAATAGACATTTAGTAATACTACTATTCTGAAATGTGTGCAATATATAATAAATGCAAAACAATAAATAACTAAAGATTAAAATCAATAAGATGTTTCAAACGATATATGCAATAATATAATATAATTTAAGAGATATGCAACAAAATTTCTCACATAAAAAATAAGAATCTCTTTTTCCTTTTATTAATTTTATATCGCATATTATATGAAATTTTTAACTTGCAAAATGTAAAACATTAGAAATAGAAATTCTTAGATATTTATTAAATATGCAAATGTCTCTTATATATATATATATATATATATATATATATATATATATATACACACATATATACAAGCTACTTCAGAACTTGTTATCATTATTTACTATTTTTATCATGTAACTGATTATCCATATTATGTTAGATATATCATGTTTTTGCTAAACAAACATGTTAAAAACGAGACGATAATAACAAAATTCAATATACTTGTGAGGATAAATATATCTAAAAGATGAAAGAATATAATACCTATAGAATAGATAGAATGCATGCCTACAAATTTTATATAGCACATACAAAAATTCAATAAGAAAACGACATATTTTGTGTTTCAAGTTTTCTCACACAATTATATCTTTTGTAACATTTTCTCACATAGTTTTACATATAAACGTTCTCTTTATATCCACATAAAAAAATATTATATATTAACAGAATATGGGCATTTTAAATAACTCTGTTATAGTAAAAATATGAATACTTCTTTACACTAAATCGTAGAAAAATGCGTTAAATATATAATATGTAATATCGTTATTGTAATTGCAAGAAATAATATATTCAATGTGAGAATGCATATATTATTGGCAAGTTTATTAAACCTAGAATATATCATGTAGATTACGCTATATGAGAATGTAAGAAATAGAATGTGTGTACACGCACGCACGCGCGCGCATTTATCATAATAAACGAACTTCCTTGCAATATAATTAATTTTTGGAAATGCAAGCACATGTATTTGCAACAATTCACATTAAGCAGACATTTAACAAAGTTGTGTATTCTGCTTTCTGTTACTGTGATAAACTTATTAAAAACTACATGACAGAGATCTATACGATATCCTATAAAATAAAAAATTGCCAAGAGAGATATTATAAAAGTATTAATATTGTATTACAAATTAGGAATAGGGAATGGAAATACTAAGGACCAGTGAGGACAGTAGTTACCATAATTTAGGATCTTGAGCATTCTTCTCTCGCACTTCTTGTTCAATTTCATCTCCACAGTCAGCCACGATGCGTGCCAGCTGCTCAGCCTCTACTAGACACACTTAGAATTCTTTGTCAGACACTTTGCAAAATAATATTTCAACTCGCGCTTTTTATATTTTATATATACATACATATATACATATGATCATATTCATGATCACTGAATCGGATAGAAATAATAAATATTATTTGTATAATTACATTTAAAAATACTACATCTCACAAACAAATAATCTCCGACAATCAGCAATCGACAAAAACTATATACGAGAGAGAAATAGTCTCCTCTCCGCTTATAACATTGTGCAACGAGAAGAAAAAAAAGAAATATAAAATAATAATAATGATAATATATATAATAAGTAATATCATACCTTGTTGTTCAGAATTCTGTAGATTAGTCGGCGGTCTGACAGGCGGTGGTATTTGAATATTAGGAGGGCCCACCGAAAGAGGTACCTGATTGGAAAGAGCATAGCCAGTGGACACAAGGCCGCGTGACGGTGCTGTATTAGGAATGACAGTGGGAGGTGGAACATTCGGCGGTGGAATATTCAGGTTTGGTGGCGGAACCGAATTAATCGTCGATGGAACGGTATGCACCGGTGGAGGCGCTGACATTATCATGGACGTTATTACATTTGGGGGTGGAACATTGGCTACGCTTGGTACCGTCACTACGATGGCTTGCGAGCCCGTGATAGGTATCAAGGTCGGTGGCATTTGCGACATTGGCGGTAAGATATTTGGCGGTGGTATATTGGGTGGGGGAATATTCGGTGGATGTTGTAAGTTAGCGCTACATGACGGGGGTGGTATGCTGCATTGTTGCGGATTTTGTATAATGTGCTGTTGTCCGTTCGATGACGATGGTAAGTTAGACATTGGCATAGATTGGGACAATTGCATGTTTGGCGGCGGAACGTTTGTATTAGGTGGAATGCTTTGGATGGGATGAGCGGGACGTATAATATGCGGCGGTGCAATTTGCATCCTAACATTGCTAGAATGATCATTTATATTTGTGTACGTGTTATTAAAATTCTTCGACATTGGTATCCTTTGCAGATTCGCGGACGAAGCGCTCGGCGCCAAGTTTCTTATATTCGGGGGCGGTATATTTGTCATTTGCATTTGCACCGGTTGAGACATGAGAGATGGGATGGAAGAGGCATGATTATTACTTTGAATTGGAACGTGATTAAATTGCGCACGTTGTCCATTCTGCGCATGATTGTAGCTACGCCGTGTCTCGGGACTAGGCGACGATCTCCGCCTCGTAGGCGATGGACTCGAGGAGGAACTATGCTTTCTATCTAAGCTCCTTCCCCAACGCGAATCATTTCTCCTGCGATCTCTCCTACTGTCCCAATCTCTATTTTTTTCATTATCACGCTTCCTTTCTTTGTCTCTTTCTCTAGCGGCTTCATAATTTTTCTCATCTTTTCTTTTATCCTCAGTTTTATCTTGCTGAGTTTCTTGTTTGCCAGTTGCTTTATTTGCTATTTTCTTGAATTGATCGAGAAAACTACCGTCATTGGCAAACACATTCATTGAAAGGGATGCGATAGACTTTTCATCTTCTTCCCTAGATAGATGCGCAAATAAATGATGAATTCCGCTCCTTATATATTTTCTAATTAATCAATATAGATACTAGACGAGTAAATTATGTAATGTAATAAACTTTAACGAAATTAAATTGCTACGACGTAATGAGCGTGGAAGAGACTTACTTTACACCATTGCCTTTACTAATTGTGGTCGACGTAGACGAATTCGACTTTTTCATGCACTCTACTGCTTCTTTCGCCTTCTGTTCTTGCATTTTCGCTTGAATTTCCAACTTTTTTTGTTGAATAATTTGTTCTTGCTTTGACATTTGCGCAAAACGTTCATTTCGCGAAGTTTTTGACACAAATGGATCGGATCCCTTCACACCGCGATACGCCATTTTTATTGTTCACAGTTGTCAGTGATGTATCTACAACGTATGAATGTACGTAATTTATATATACATGTACATACGCACACATTTGTGTATATATACACACACACACACACACAATTTATTTTAACGTCACACTATAGTTTTATTTTATAAAATACTTTTAATAAATAATAATAAAAAATATCGTAATATCTTGGATACCTTTTCAATTCGAGTATATACAATGAATGAAGGATAGTGATCGATACAAAAAATCCATGTTTAGCTTATCGCATGCAATTGCACTTTATCTATATAAAATAAAATCAACGATCTCAACATACATTTATTATACATATTTTACATACGAATTGTTGGTCACGTGATACTTGCACTGTTGGTATCATTGGTCGCATTCATCCGTTAAGTAGCAATCGAACATGATTGGTTGCTACTTTTATATCCGGCCAATCAGCGTCGAATTACCAATCGACCAATGGCCGCATTCGGCGGCTCATAACTCAACAATTTGGCAATATTACTAGATATTCCGATATAATTTAACGCTGATTGGCCTGATCTGAAAATAGAAACCAATCATGTTCGAATGCTACTTAACGATTGAATTCGCTGAATGCGATTGGCCGTTGAATCCGCCAAGTAGCAATGAAACATGATTGGTTTCTTTCGAATCCGGCCAATCAGCGAATGCGACCAAATGGCTCGAGTAAAGAAATTACGGAACCTAAAAATTTTTTCCAAAAGCAATCAATACATAAAGCAAACTCGTCAACTACAAATATATCATATACTTGTATAATATGAGTGTAAATGCTATAGATATATTGTACATACATACACACACACACACACACACATGCATGTGCTTTAATTCAATTATGTAATCCAGTATCAGTATGTCTATATAGACTCTTAGAAGTGAGAAACTTGACACATATATTCGCATGTTTCTTTTGTCTGGGAAAACTCGGAATATTAGATTAATATTATAAATATACTATAAATGTATTAACAAATATACAATTAATATATATTGAAAAAGAGCGAAGCTTGAACGAAATTCGATATCCTATTAAAGTACAAGAGATTTTATATTTTCCACGTTGCAGAATCCGACTTCAACATGACTTGCACACAATATGAGAGATACAAGTAAAAAGAAAACTCTCTTACCATATATATCATACGATAAAACAATGTAAAAACATAATGCATTCTCTTTTCCCCAAAAATGGGAAATGGTACGCGCGCATACACGTATGCACAGAAAAAAAGAATATGAAAAAATCTCTCCCTAACAAAGTTTACTCTTTTATATACCTTTACAAACTTAAATAATATTTCCAATATATATCAAAATTGTAAGAGTTAATAAATATATGTATATAAAGTTAAAATAGTTTGTACTATTTTCTAAGCTTCTTCTTAAGAAGATCCTTTTTCTTTTTTTCTAGTGCTTCTTTACGCATATCTTCTAAATCTTCCATAATTCCTGTAAATATTCAATCAATTATATATTAACAAGCTATTCGTATTTTATAAAGTACACAAAATACTTGAGATAATATAAATGGTACCTATTTTCGTGGATATGTACTCTTCCTTTAGTTGTTGCGCAAAATTACTCTCCATAGCGGTGTCATCTTCATTATCGAGATGTTTATATTTGTTCTTATCATAGCCAAATATCTCACTAATATGTTTACTATAATCTTCCTCGTTATCGTCCGATCCATCATCTATAAAATCGTCCAAATCTGAAGCATCCAAATCTTCATCCTCGTCATAGATACGTCCTGTAAAATTAAAATTTATTTCACATTTATTTGATTATATCTAATCTTTCATCAAGTCTTATAATTGTAACTATACTATACTTGCAAGTAAACTCACGTTTGTTTGGCGGTTTTTTAACAATTTCTTTAGATTTAGTGGATTTGATATTGAGTGGTCGCGTTTGTTTTAATTTATTATTAGTTAACGATGATTTTAAATCTAAGGGTGGAAATTGCCGTGATTTAATATCTTTGGGTATTTGCTTATCTATACTACTGCCTTTGGATTTAATCATTTCTTTAGAAGAAGAATGAGACTTGATGTCTTCCTGTTTATTTTTACTCTGCTCCAATTTCCTCTTTTCTTCTTCAATAGCACGTCGCATTTCTTCCAGTTGTCTTTTCTCAGCTTCTAATTTTTTTCGTTCTTCTAATAATTCGTTTTTAGATGAAATTTTGCTTGAATTGTATTTTTCCGTATTTTGTTTTTCATTGGACTTGTCAATAATTTTTTTAGAAATAGTTGTCGCAGTTTTGGAAGAATTTTTATTTAATATCGAGTTTAAAATCGGAGATTTTTCACTAGTTTTGGGAATTTTATTTAATTGCGTTTTATTAGATTTGTTTAATGTACTCGTAGTGCTTATTTTTTTATCAGTCTCCAAATCTTTTTTCCCTCGTTGCTCCTTTCTTTCTCTTTCATGTATATATTCCATTTTTTGACGTTTTGTCATTGGTCGTTCTTCGTCCACTTTTGGCTTAACTTCTATCATTACAGGCTCATGTTGTTTTTTCTCTGCAAGTTTTAACAGTTCCGCAAAACCCATAGGTGATGGTAATGACTTTCTCTTCGGTTTCGGCTTTTCATCCTTGTTCTCTTCTTTGTTTTTGTCAGCAATATTCTTCTCGATTTTTTCATCAATTTCAGCTTCTTTTATACTCGAGGCGGATTTTCGTTTGCGCCTATGTCCACTATTTTCCTCGAGTTCCTGCTGTTTTAAAGCTTGTTTTACTCTATCCTATAACATACAAGGTCATGCTCAATCAGTATATAATACACGAAAAAAGATAGCGTACAACAAATTAGCTCTTTTATATTATAGTCAGATTGTGGCAAACAATATGATAACAAAATATTTTCTCAAATGGTTCAATACATGATTGTTGTTTAATAGAAGATTATTATGTACGCCACCTTTGTAGATGTAATATCCTTTATTGTCCTTTTCTCATTATTATTAAAAATAGGTTTCTCTGGAGGTAAACTATTATATTTGCTCATTAACTGATTGTAGAATGTAGAAGCTTCTTGCGATACATATCCATAATCATCTTCATCAGGCTGAGAAGGACCTGTAAAACAATAATATTTTATTTGTACACATAATCAATCACTGTACGCATCTTTACGTTTCATACAGGATGTATATAATAAATAATATAATAAATGCAAGATATGCAAGATATGTGTAATTTTAAAAAAATTTAACTTTATAAACACATAGACTTATCGCGTTATAAACATATAACAAATAAAGATGGGATATAATTTAAAAAAAAAGCATCTATATATTATAACTGTATTATACTAAAATTTAAAAAAAAATATTCAATCAGATTTCTGTTATAAATTCACAATAAAACTGAGATCTTTGTAACATAAATTTCTGATTCTTTGGAAGATAAATAAAATAAAGCAAATAATAACATCAGAAATGTTACGAACAACAATATCAGCAATTAAAATTGTAATTTCTCCTGATGTATATCCCTAACAATACAAGATCAATATGTAGAATACAAGATGCAACATATCTCAGTAAAATCATAATTCAAATTAACAGCCACAATATCTTGCATTTTTCCTCAATCTCTTATCATACATCCAGCAAAGCATTATATAATATTATGTAATATTATCTAGATATTTATACAATAAATCTATTTTTTTTTAATTGTAAAATATCTTATTATACCTATTTATTGTATACAATTATACAATTCTTACATTGTGTATGTGTGTGTGTGTTATATGTAAATATAAAGATATTTTCACATTCTTTAAAGAGAATATTTAACGAGTTTTATCTCATTCATAGAAATTATATAAAAATAAAGTTCCACATATGTCAAACCCACAAAAATTCATTAATATGTGAGAATAAAATATTCAATACCAATAAGATATCAAAAATAATAGGGAAAAAGTATGAGCAGAAAAACAAATGGTATAAAATGATTTTTAAAAACATTATTGCAACAAAAAGATAATTGAGCAATATCATACAATTAAGATTAAATGTATCTTGATATTTTTTTATATACTTCATTATAATCATCGTTATATTTAACATTAAAATAAAATATTTAATCTGCAATGAGAAAAATAGAAAAAATATATATATAATTATATATATATATATATATATATATATATATATATATATAATATAAATAATTCATCGAAATCTATAGAAAAATTTTTAATTTTGTTATTTAGTAAACATATAAGGGACAAAAAATATGTATTAGGTATCATATTTAACGTATATATATATATATATATATATATATATATATATATATATAATATCTGATATCTAATATATATTTTGTTTCCTATATGCTTATTAAATAAAAATATTAAAAATTTTTTTATTTTATACGTATATATATAAAAAGTATCTTCTTATAAAAAATAACATATTAAGAACGATATAAAAATGAATCGATATAATTTTAATAAAAGAAGAGAGAAATGATAAAATAATGAAGCATCATGCATATGTGATTTGCATTATGGATAAATATAAAATTACAAGTATAAATAAATTATAATAGCTCTATATTATTTTTAAAGACAATTCACAAATATGATAAAAATAGCGATAATTATTGCGCAAACTTTATACTTGTAAATTTTCTAGACTACTCTAAGATTAGATGGCTGACCTTAATCAATGCCTTAGTATCCATCGTTGTACAAATCCATGAAATTGTTCTGCATCAATTTGGGATGATGGATAATTAATGCATTATATTGCTCGTATATATTACATAACCTGCGGGCAAAAATATTGCCCATTATGGATAAGAGTTTCCCCGTCAAGTTAACGATATAATATGCAAATAAAGAAAGCTATTTGTCTTATAATTTTTGTCAATATCAATCTGCCATCTTGTACTTTAAATTTATCTATATGCACCATCTATATTGTATTTTAATATTTCGTGATTGCATAAGATCTATTTGCTATAATGCTCTAATTTTACTTAATATTCTCAGTATTTTATTTCAATATATCTTGATGTATAAACTTTCAAGTACATGTATTAAAAAAAAAATTGTGTTGTAAAAAAGGAATAATTGCATAAATACAGAAAATAAGAGTAAACATTTATATAAATGCTTCTTTCCATATGTTTGGAACTTTATTTTTATATTTTATATCTATTTAAAAATTTGCATTCCAATGATAGATATAATTTTATTGAAATATATTTTAAATGTGAAAATGTATAAACCAAACAGATTAATGTTTTGTTTAATCTGTCATCTGTAGCAATATCATTATAATATTTTTAAAATATTATAATTCTTATATATATATAATCATGTAATATTACCTGCTATAGTAATAGCTGTATTTTCACTATCAATGGCATCTGCAATCACCGACTTATTCGCTGCTTTACATACTTTCAAATGTTTACTTATCCGACTTTGGGCTTTAGAGTCTCGTAAAGCTAGGAGATTCTAAAAGTATAGTTTTCCAAATATGAACAGGAAATAATCTCTCGCACATAATTATATGATATGAAAGATACGTACAAATTATTCGTAATCAATGTACAACACATTTATTATACATAATTTTTATAATACGAAATTACCTCTCTCTTTCTTTTCTCTTCCAAGGCTTTCTGTTTCTCCTCTTCTTCCTTTCGAGCGAGAAACTTCTTGATATTGTCGGAAAGAGTTTTAGATTGTTTAGTCTGTTTCTTTGGTGGTGTAAATTTTGTTTGATAGCATGGAACGGTCTGTTAAGAAAAATATCTGGTCAAGAATTGTTTAACACTAAGCAAAAGGTATTTAATCTAACCTATTTTTGTCATTAACTATATATACACTTGAACTCGATTACATATAAAATAATCGACAAAATAGACTAACTTGTTTTTTCGTTTCATTTTTCTGCGCGACATTTATCAAAGTGCCAAAATCCATTTTATTAATCGAGATGATTTACAAGACACTAGAGAATTTATTTTGCATATGGAACCTAATATACTTTCAACTGTAGACTTTTTCCTGACGCAGTGTCGACTAGTCTTTCATAAATAAATAAAAATATTTCTCTCTCTCTCTCTCTCTCTCTTTTACGATGCAGTTAAATTATTTTTATTTTTTCTGAAATGAAAGATAATCTTGGTTTCACACAAGCTACACTTTCAATTTTTCTTTCCCCAATTTCAGAAATGCACCGAAAGACCCGTAATCCGTAATGGCACATGAGAAATATAAGGGCTATGGGCCCTCACACAAGAAATTGCATAGCTGCATATGCATAGCATAAGACCATATGGACCAATGAGCATCGAGAATTATGTAATGTAAATCAATATGGCGAGTTAATATTCGATGCTCATTGGTCCATACAGTCTCATGCTATGCATAGTTGCATTTGATTGGTTTTTACTTTCAGATCCGGCCACTCAGCGTCGAATTACTTATAGTGCGTTCGAAAATATGTTTGGTTGGTGTTGGGAAAACAGATAAAGTTGGCAGTATTGAAAACTCCCAGTGCTGCGTTTCACTGCTCTCACTAGGATCACTAGGATTAAAAAAATTTGCTACTTGAGATATTAAGGCCCGGTTCCACAACTCGAGTTAATCGGAGTTTAATACGTTAAACTGGGTCCTGATTGGTCCATTCACTACTTAAACTCGGATTAACTGGATCGTGGAACTGGGCCTAAAAGAGATAAATAAGTAGTTATAAATATATTTTATAATAATATGTTTAATAACATCACATATATTATTATTAATACGAACGTGTGTTTTATATTAATAATGCTATAATTATAATAAAGTGACATAATTTACCTAAAATGTGATTTAAATTCAATATTTGTATATCTGGTAACATTTTCCAAATAATCTGTTATTTTTGGTACTATTTTTCTTTCACCTCTATTTTTATTACCTCTATTTTCGAATAAAATATTTTGTAATTCTTTATTATTATCATCACTATCTGAAGAAAAATTACTCGAAGATTCAAAAATGATGTTTTCGAGTAAAATATATTGTTCTATAATAATAATTAGTGTAATTGCAACACTTTCTTATATTGTACATACGGTACAATTCTAATAATCCCAGTGGGAGAAACGAAACGCAGCACTGGGAGTTTTCAATACTGCCAACTTTATCTTTTTTCCCAACACCGACCAAACATATTTTCGAACGCACTATTAATCGGAAAATCTAGGGGTATTTTCCGATTTACGCATAATGCGCATGAAGTGACAGAAAATGTATAATATGCGTGACATGAACTATACATTTTCTGTCACTTCATGTGCATCATGCGTGAATCGGAAAGCACCTTAGGTTACGTTCCAAAACTCAAGTAACCGAGGAAAATTTTACTCGATGGCTGATTCGAACCGATCGGAAACGCTTAAATGCGGGGTCTACAATGTGTGTTTCGGGGTCGCATCACTACAGTAGCGCTACATAAGCGTGTTATTAAAGCGAAAATGTCACAATGGCCTTGTACGACATACGTTTTTCTCTGCCTTACTTTACGTTCACGACTACGACAGGCATCTAGTTCTCTGCCATCAGTTTTAAATTTTCCTCGGAGAGTACGTTTTGGAACGTACCTCTAGTAATGTTGCCCAACTCTTGAGTGAGTTAGAGAACCTCTAGGAGAGAGAATGGACAACTGATCATGTGACATGTGATCAAGCTTTTTCATGATTGGCTGGCAGAAAATGTATCAATTTTAGCTATTGCGACGCCAATGCAAAATATGATACACACACAAATAGGTTAATATATGTGTGTCATGTGTGTCCTATTTGTGTGTCATCATATTTTGCATTGGCGTCGCAATAGCTAAAATTGATACATTTTCTGCCAGCCAATCATGAAAAAGCTTGATCAGTTGTCCATTCTCTCTCCTAGAGGTTCTCTAGAGTGAGTGACACCCGATTGAGCGCGTCGCCAATTGGATAATTCAAAAAAATAACTCTCAGATTGGTTAATGTTAAGCCGGATCTACATTGGTCGTATCGTGACGTCGCAAGTCGTAGGCATATTGACTAATCATGGTTGATTATTTTTGAAATAACGACTATGGTTGATCAATTTGTCCACGACTTACGACTTGAGACGTTACCATACGACCAATGTAGATCCGGCTTTAAGGTGCAAAATACCCTAGGCACTAGAACAATATAATTAGCTGTGGCCAATCACAAACGCTCCCCACTTGAGCCCAACGCTGAATATGATCAATGAGTTTTGAGCATTTTTCCCGGTAGAACTTTTAGTAACTTTTCGAGAATTGAAAATTTTAAAAGTTTGTTTTTCCCGATTTTGTAAAATTAAATATCTTTTAAATCGTTATCTTGAAAAATTGTAAATATTAAAAATAACTTTCTGATATATCTTTCTTTTTATATGATGTATGTATACTTTGTATGTCGATAATAAAGCAATTATGTGTCTATGGAAACTATTGTAATGTATATAAGTTATACGTGATATATACAAAGTAGCCAGCGTAAGTAGCGCGTTTTTCTTTTTTTATAAAATTGCATTTTTATCAAACTTTTTTTGAGCAAAGAGTTTATCGTTGAAATTTTATCCGATCGAGAAGAATGAAAATATAAGAAAAAAACGATAAAATGCAAGAAGATAAGTCGCAAGAACGTAAATTTGAATTTCGAAATAAAGAAAATCAAAAAGCGGAGAAAGGAGGAAGCGATGAAGAAATACATGAAGAGTATATCTACGATTCAAGTGAATATATATCCGGAGCAAAACGCGTGCAAAACGGAACAGTACCCATAAATATTTTAGAGTTTCAGTATCCTTTTATATAGATTTTTTTTAAATCTTATCTTAAATGTACGTAATTGATGTACAACACTAAAAGAAAATTCCTTAGATATAATATAAGTCATTCATTTTCATACGACTGTCAGAAATACTTTAATCTTTGTGTAGCAGAACCAAACATTATTATTTTTATTTCTGGTAACATACTACATTTTTGGAATATTTCGACAAATAAACTATGGTTTAGAAGAGGATATACTGGCAATGGAATTGGACACATAACGGTATTCTTTGTACAAGTTAAAAAATTTATAGTAAAATGAGAAAGAAATCTCAAGTATTCATATAAAAAACAAAATAAGCAAGTTTTTTTCCAATTAATTTCAAATATATATATATATATATATATATATATATATATATTTTGTTTTTTAAAGAATAATTTGATGAAATGTGTTTCCTTCATGATATTTTGTCTGTTTAGAAAAATCCTGTATTTAATCATATTGCTGTTGGTGAAAATGGTACTAAACCTCCAATAATAATCTACAAGTGGCCTTCAATGGATATTGTGACAATTTTATATAATGGCACATTGAAATCTTATTCCCATTTAACTTACAGGTATGTCATAAAGATCTGAGGAATAAAATCATATCCATACATAGTTACATAATTCTATGTATATTACCATATCCTATCTATAGTATATATCCTATCTATTATATGTCTTGTATGTATTTTGTAGCACAGATGGTTTATTATTAGTATCACAAGGGGGGCATCCAGATTACACAATTACTCTTTGGGATTGGCAAAAGTCTAAAATTGCATTGAAATGCAAATCTTATAATCGAGATGTTTATAATATTACAATGTCTTCATTGCTACCTGGATATTTCGTGACCAGTGGTTTGGGACATATAAAATTTTGGAAAATCTCTGAAACATTTACTGGACTTAAATTGAAAGGCGAAATTGGTAGATTTGGTCAGACAGAGATATCTGATATTATTGGTGTATATATCATGCCAGATGGAAAAGTGAGTATTATTTAAATGCATCTGACTTTTAGATTTATATTTTTTTATTAATTAAAGGTGTATCTTTCTTAAAGGTTGTGTCAGGTTGTGAATGGGGAAACATCTTACTGTGGGAAGAAGGTTTAATTACTCTTGAAATATGTAAGAAAAATCGGCAGCCATGTCACACTAAAGCAATTACACAATTTGAATATATAAATGGAGAGCTTATATCAATCGGTAAAAATATTTTTGATAATTATGTGGCACTCAATTCTTTTTCCATAAATTGTCATAAGACTTGAATATAAGTCTATTAAGAATATAGTAAAAGATTTGAATTTTCAAATATTGTTTTTAAAAGTTTAGGTTCTTCCAATTTTGTGTACCAAAATATACAATTAGTGATTGAGTACTAAAATATACAATTAGTGATTTTTAAATAAAATATATATATATATATATATATATATATATATAATTTAAAATATTAATGACGATAATAGCTGTGTGTGTGTGTGTGTGTGTATGTGTCTATAAAGGAGTGTGATATAATTTGGATTAAAAAGTTTTTTTTATATTAAAATGAATGGATTGTAGGTATGGATGGATGGATTAGAATTTGGTTTTATGAAACGATAGATCAAGCTGACTATCATACTGGAGAAAGGTTTCTAGAAATTCAACCTATCTATGAATACTGTATCAATGAAGGTGATGAAGTAATGAATTCGATGCTTATGTGCATACGAAAACAAGAACCAGACAATCCAGAAAGTATGTTCTGGTATGCTCAGGTACGATTACATGTTTCGTTTAGAACTTACAGCATATTCAGATTATACTTCATTTCACATCCGCGGCATTGATTGTAATGTATGCTAAATGCAATCAGCATAAAATAAAATAACACATATATCGATTATTGTGAACCCCAAGTAGTATACATTCTGAATAATAGGTTTCTTAAAATCAACTATGTCACAATATGTATGCATGCATTAAAAGATTTTGATAAATTAATTATTAGTAAATTTAATAAAACAAGCTTAAAAAAAAGAAAAATCACAAAATATTGATGTAATCTTTGCAAATATGTATCTTTCCTTTTTTCTTTTTAGGATGGAAATGGTGGGATTTGGTTAATAGATTTACATACCTCAAAAGCAGAATTACCACAAAAAATATTTACATGTCACGCGGGAGTTATAGCCGATATGGATTGTGCTACATGGGGTCCCTTTATAGTTACATTGGGCAAAGCTGGACAGATGCATATTTATAATTATATAGAAAAAAGATTAATTTTGGCGCATAATTTTAATGATATTGGCAGTCAAATCATCTGGTTTCCATGCCAGGTAAAAATTGGCTTTAATAGTTTATTTTTGATGAGATATTTTAATATATAATAAAATATATGTGCGTGTGTTGTTGCGCGAGAGAGAATATTCTTTTATGTATTAAAATATATGCACTTTATTATAAAGAGATTATTATATATAATAATATGATAGATATTATATGAATAACAGATATTATATGTATTCACATATATATATACACACACACACACAATCAAATCACAATCTCTATTATATGTGCACAACAATGTAAAATATGAAAAAGTTTACTGATTCTTTAATGATTTCCTAGAATCTAAATCTGTTAGGTATACAAATACCTTTGCATATAAAGTTATTTGCTGTGCTATATGAATAAAAATCTTTTCATTTATAAGATTGAGGCAACAGGATCGACACTCGCATGTGCTTTTAAGAGTGGTGTTATCCGTATAATTACTGTAGCTGTATCAGCGGCAAATGCCGTTAACAATATACATGGAGACTATATTAGACTGATTCAAATTGTAAAACCGCACAAAATGGCAATAACTGTAATGTCTCTAAATCCATCGTGCAGGTATATTAAAAGTGCAATCTCAAAGATCAAGTAGTATTTATGGCACACTTTATATACACGTATTTTATTTTAATTATATTTGTAAATTTCTATGTAAGATTATTTCAGCTTACTGATAACTGGTAGTGAAGATTCAACTGTATTTAACTTTACCATTATAGTAACTAATACTTATCCTGTCATTATGCCAATTGGTTTCATAAAAGTACCTTCGGGAGTCACATGTCTTGCATGGAAACCACAATGTGTAAATAATACGTTACATAATTATTTATCTTTTATCAAAGATATTTGCATGGTTCGCTTTTAATTTAATTTGATTTTATAGGAAATGACAGTATTAATTGGATGCTCACAAGGAGATTGCATAGAAGTTACATTACCAAGCACACCTCAATTATACACCATTGCTTCTTACGAACTCGTTCAATGTGGATCAAAAGTATTTAAATTTCATTCTGTGAAATCTGCTATTCGAAATGAATTAATACGTTTAAATCGAGAAAAAAAAGAGAAGGAAAAAATAGCGAAGAAGCGTGAAGAAATAGCGCAATTAATCGTTGAAGATCCCGAAATGAAAATTAACGAGGAAGCATTACTCAGTAATTTTATATCATTATTTATAACTTATCTAAAGTAATAGAGTATTTTTTATTTCGTCAAATTTTTGTTTATTCTAAAATGTAGTATTATTAATTATGGAAATAAAGTAATGTGACAAAAAAATTGTTTATTATTACAGTAAACATGGAAGAGGAAGAACCATTGCCAGAAATATATATACCTAAAGTACCAAACAAGATATTGATAGCACAATATATTAATCAATACGTTATTTGGTTGTTAATGGCAGGATTTGACGCAGGATATATATATGAATATCCAAGTCCGGAAATTAATGAAACTAGTCTGGAAAAACCTATTAAGAGCACCATGATACATGATGCAGATGATATAGAAATACGAAGCTGTCTATTTTAGTAAGAATAAGTAGAAATAATAAATTATTGCGTGTATATCACGAAAAAAAAATAATTTTACACAGCAAATAATTGTTTTTATTTTTTTATATTATCGCTAGCAAGAAAAAGTACTTATTTTTGGGAATGGAACACGGACAAATACGGGTCTGCAAATTGAAACCTGAAAACTATGCAGATCTATCAGATTATTGGATACTTTCAATGCATGATAATTTTAATGGTTGTATCCCAAAAATTATTCTTAGTCATAATCAGACAATGTTATTTACATGTGGATATGATGGAAATTTATTTTCTTATGAAATAAATGATGATACACCATCTGAAGCTATCGAATTTGAAATAATTAAAGGAATCTTATCCTTGGTGAGAATTTGCATTGTTTCTTATTTATTATATTTTAAATTCATTCTTGTTATTTATTAAGATGTGCATTTCTTGTTTTATTCAAACTCATAATTTAACGAATTCATTACATTTTTCAATAATATAGCCTTACATTAGCATTGAAGATATCGAAGAAATCGATCATGCGAGCTTAGAAGAGATGATTCAACAGACTGAGCGTGAGAGAGTTGCCACTCTGGCAAAGCAGAGTAAACATCATACTTTGCAGATATTATCTAAATTGAGCGAAGAATATAGCAATATTATGGAAAGGTAATTATAAATTATATCAAATGTAGAAATAATTATCGAGTATAATGCTAAGTAAGAAGATGATATATATTCATTCATTTTTACATATATTTTTAGGAATAATGCTCTACCCAAGTCTCATCGGATAACTTCTGAAGAATTGGAATTGGATCTTAGAATTACAGCTGATTTAAGCAAAGAATTGGAAACAGAAATGATTATAATTCGAGAAAAATTGGCTTTTAAAGTAGAAAAAAGTAAACTTAGATTACAAAAGCTTTTGAAACATTTTATTCAGCCTATCGCACATTTACCGTTTGCTATCTGCAAAATGTCGTAAGTAAAAATTATTTTAAAAATATGAGCAAATAATTTATTATTAATCTATTAATAATCTATTGAAGATTCATCAATTCATTGTTATCAATAATTGATATTGATATATAGGAAGCCAGATAATGTAGTATATTCTCTGCGTCAACACACTTTGAATATTGATGTCATTTTACCACATATTGATACAATAAAACATGTGCATGCATATAGGACACCATACATTGATGCAGAAACAAATGAAAATAGGTATATTATAATATGCTTGAATATAAGACGAATGCAACTCGTCTCTATGTAAAATCTATGTAAAATGTACTTTTATCTATTATACGACTAGCACAATGAGCGAAAAAATGCAACATTATGAGGGAAATGGAGGCAAAATGGAAAATGAAATAAGTACAAAGCAAGAGCAGTCGGTTGCAGTTTTCTTAAAAGGCATAGATTATAAAGACACAGATAGTAGCCTGGGTATTCAATTAAATCAAATGTTGAATAAATATAACTTAAGAAAGACTAGACTAGAACAACGCGAGAAAGAAGTTGGTAGATTCTTGTAAAATCGTAAATATAATAACATTAAATTCTTCCTATTTATTAATTTAATGAGAAAATTTTGTTTTATTTAGTGGAAAATTATATATAATGAAAAACCGGATAAATCTATTAATCACATGCACGATATATTCGCTATAGAAGAAGCAAGAAAAACTATTGGCGATTACAAATTAAAAACATCGTCAACTTTTAATTTATTGTCGGAAGAGCGAGATACTCTCTTCTCGAAATATAAACAATTACTGAATTGTCAGAAGAAGGTTTGTGCACAGCATCGATCAATTAAAAAAAACACATTGTTTATTTTAATTACACATGTTTGATTGTTCATTTTATCTACAATATTATATAGGATATTCTGTATTACAAAAAACCTTTATACCTATATAATCTCTTGTAGCTTTATTATCTACAAGAAGCTTTCAATGCGAAATTGAAAGATGTAAGAACAGAGAAAGAACATTTGCTTGTGGAAATTGCATACTTAAAAAAATCTCTTAAACATATTCATGCTGAAATACCATCGAAAAGCATAAAATCTTTGCCAGATATTCCTACGTTAAATGTAAATGTAGAATTTCCCGAGAGAAAAGTGACGGTGTGTATTAATATATTTTATTGACGCAAAACAATAAGAATGTAAAAGTTTAAATTTGATAATATACGATACACTTGATATTTTTACATGCGCATACATAGATTGAAAAATATGCAGAATTAAAAGCAGATAGAACACAACGACGGCTATCGGTTCTTCCTGAACAGATACGCGCTTGTTCGGATGAGGAATACGAAGTGTTACTTTTAGATGAAAAATTTATAGAACAAGCAAAAATCTCTAGCGAGCCATTAGCATTATTTTCTGTTTCCGAAAGAAAATTAAAAATCCAATCTGCTGCTCGAGATATGATGTCGCTTCGCTTAAACGATGACATTGATAGCCTATGGGAACGAGAAATGAAAACTTCTCGTATATTATACAAAATATACAAACAAGATTGCATATTGAGATACGCAGCAACGAGTTGCGAAAATTTAGACAAAAAATTGAATAAATTAGAACATGACAGATTGGATATTGTTGCCGAGAGTATCAATATCAATTTATTTTTATTAACACTTCGTCAAGAATACATTATTTTAAGAGAGTGCGAGACAAAAGAAAGTATATTGCATGATCAAGTTAACTGTAAACTGGAAGAAATTGCAACGATAAGGCAAAAAGTTGGCAAATTTTACTAGTTTTATCATTTAACAGCAATCGTATATACATTTGTATTAAAAAAAACGCAACTTATATGTAGTAATATTGATATTTCCAGATCCAAATAATCACTGACAAAATTGATGTTAAAATTAAGGAAATTGCAAATTTACGTAACCAGATAAAAAATATATTTCTCGAATATATGAATAAGATAAACGATAACAAGTTCCGTAATTTTCTGCATAGAATATTTAAAAAGAAGTACAAAGAATCAAAAGGAGAGGAAGGTAATAATAACACTTTATATATAAAGGGTGCTAATAATAAAATACTGCTTAAATTTAAAAAAAATTTCACACATTTCACAAAGATTATTATTTATACTTTAGAGATTACCACGACAACGACTGAAACGAATTCGGATGACACGAATAGTATCGACACTAGGGAATCTGAATTAGTTTATTTCGATGAAAACATATGTCCTCCAGGATGTGACAAAAAATTATACGACTTGGCATTTTCGATGAGAGAGAAACGATACTTTTGCGAACATCAAATCAAAGATGCACAACAAATTGTGGAAACCCTTC